CTACTTTTAATAAAATTTGTCTTAACCGGGTTTTCGATTAATCATGATTTCCATCCCCACCATTATCCTGGATAATCGACAGTTGAGTGTATGTTCATGGAGTTTTACAGTAAGGAAAGTGGCTGAGGCGAGTAGACCCACACAGTTTAGTTGAGTCTCACTGTGAGCTAGAAGCAGCATGCATGCTTGCCTGCTTCATGCTGGTTTCTTGGCTTGTGCTTCAATGCTGAAGATAGCAGCTGCAAAGTTCCTCCAAAATGTCAGCTGACTTTCAGCAGACTACATGGCATTATATCCCAGAAGACATAACTCTTAAAAGCACAGGACAGCTTCACCAGTGCAGTGGCTGGATAGTATGTATGATGTCTGGTTTTGTTATGAATTTTAATATTTTACAATGCAACTGTTTTAATGATACTGCTTGCCAGAGAGAGAGAGGGAGAGGGAGAGAGAGAGAGAGAGAGCGCGCGCGCGTGTGTGTGGAATGGAAAGGCGTGAATTTGACAGTGGTTTTTCCACAACCCATGTGTGTTGTCCTGACAACTTGAGCTATCTGTGAGAGGCCTGATTATACATTTTATTGGACAAAGGACAAATGATGTGTAGTCATCATGAATTTGTAATATGTGACATGTTTTATATCCAGCCCTATGGGGAGATGATTGGATCCATGAAGTGAAAATAAATGTAAATGTAAATGTAAACTGAAACATACAAGCAACCGCAAACACACGCTAATTCTACAAGGGGGTATGTCATAGAAAGTGCTCCTCTAACACTGCATAACATTTTCTAGCCATGGCTAACACTCATTTGCATTTTGTTTTTAGCATATCAATGGAAATTCAGTGGCTTGTGGCAACTTAAATGCATTATGTACAAATAGGTACACTTTGTGAGTTTCTGGATGAGAAATCACCGAAGGAATGCATACAGAATACTACTAACAAATGTATCAGTCATATTAACCTTGTGTCACCTTCATTTTCTACAGCGCCTAGCTGCCATTTTATGTTGTCAGAGTTCATGGGTAAATAATGCATACAAAATATGAACTTGGAATGTACAGAAAAAAAGGTCCCATCTGTTTCCTGGTTATGTAGTTTAGATAAAATACCAACCAATGTCACATGCTGTCAGACAAAACAACTCTTGTTACAAAGGGAGATTTTTTACTCTTGGCCCTTGTAGGATAAAACTATGGTGAGGAGAGGCACACATTAAGTTACTGTCAATGCACTCAAATGTTAAATAAATAATTCATATATGTTCATCTGCAGGACATTTTCAAACTTAATGGGTTAAATAGGAAAAGTGATGAACAAATAACATAAGTGAAAAAGAAACGAAAAGATGTCTTCAAAAATCAAATGTATAGAATAACAATAAACATGTTTACTATCACCCTTCCACTGTTCACTCAAATTAAAAGAAGGGAAGCATGCTTTACATGAAATTTGTTAAAAAATGGCTCTTAACGCCATATCTTCTTGGGGTCTACAAATATTCTGGGATCAGTTTTTAAATTCAGTGGATATTCAAGAATATATATTTCTGTACAAACATAAAGTATTCCTCATTAATAACAAAGAAACTCTGAAACAATCTGGTGCATATTTTAACAAAGATATTAGTAAAGCTGATTTACATATATCAGTGTTATTAGCCATTAATTCGCAAGATGATATGGTATTTTACCGAGGTTTGATAAGGATACTGCATACAAAATTTTGTTAATCTAATGAAAGATAAGCCTTCTTTTTCACTTCATATAAAGAACCCATACAAAGAATAAAATATCATTATAATCTCCTTTAACTGCCAAATACACAACATATGGCATTACATAAAATGTAAGTAACGCCTGTTGCACCCAACATAGTACTCTGAAGTAAAAAGAAATGTCTGCTTCCACATTTGGCATACTACAAGAGTGTATGTTTTTGTTAGGGTCTTAAGATATGGCCTGCATATATCCTTCTGGTCTCTAATAGCCTTGGCAATGGCATCAACTTCCGAAGAAGAGACAACTGTAGGGCATACTCTCTTGCCACCATGAGAATGGTGTTTAGTAGAGGGGGCCCTATGTCTCAAAAAATGAGGACCTTCATATTATTCACACTCCCAAAGCATTATTATCTTTGGCAGAGGTGAGGTTTTCAGCCTGCAAGCAGAAAATTCCACATTTAGATCTAAACACAGATCTTAATAAGCATGCAATGCCTTGCTGATAGTCCTACTTGCAGAGGTGTTTGAAGAACACATAAATGAAATGATCTAATAGTATCAGAAAATGGAAAATTAAAATCGATGCAGTAAACTGTTAGTGTCCTCGTAGTGAGATAACCATTATATTTTGTGATGAATTTAAATGATAAATAGCATTTAAAAAACCCACAGAAAAGAAAGCTCCTGTACCTAGGTATCATTCAGATGGAAAAACTTCCTACATTCTGGGTTTGATTCCAATTCTGTGGGACACTCTTTCTCAAATTCCTCTCTCTTATTCTCATGATTTCCCAGCTATACTGCTACTGGAACTCCTCCTGTGACAGTAACACATTCTTCAATCTTTATGACACCAAATCACTTATAATCAATTATGTATCAATTTACTTTGATCGTTTCCTTGACTTTCTTGCTCTCTTTTTCAAGTACAATGCCGGTGGCTCAGTAGAACTCATGCCATCCTTCTTCAGAATTCTTTTATCTTTCTTTTCCAATCTTTCAGCTTTCTGTTCACCTGATTCCAGACTATGTTTCTGCAGTTTTCGTTTTGTAGCCTGCAGAGTCCCTTTCTCTCTGATCCATCTTCTTTCTTGCCATCCTGCCTCCTTTTCAAAATGCACAGTTTGAGGGCCAATCAGTTCAACAACACACTTGCATGTTTCTTTTTAGGACTATTCAGTCAACTTGCAGATTGACAGTCAAACACTTTTATGGCACTACTTTCTGGCTCATTCACCTCTTCCAGCTGCAAATGCAGAGGTCTTGGCTCCTGTTTCAATTGCACTTTTGTTCTTCTTCTTCTGTCTGTATTTGCTTCTGAATACGACTGATTTGCTTCACTCACTGAGGAGATATTTCTCGGAACGATTGCTCCTTTATGCCCACGTTTGTCCCTGGCACGCCTTCCTGCAACCAAAAGGGACATGTCCATGGACTCAGCACGGAATGCTAGACGTGCTTTGCATAGTCGTCCATTCCTTTCTTTCTCTCTGCTGTGAAGCTTATTCTCCATTTCTTGTACAAAATGGTGTATCCATACTCCAGGCCAAATGCACCAACTCATCCACTACAAAGCTGCAACTGAAACTGACTTCAATTCTGGAACATGAAGACACTCTCTCCTTACAATCTTCTGCTGCTTCCCTCCTTAGCAGCATTCTTTTCTGCTTAAAGGCATACAAATGATGTTTCTGAATACACATTTTCCATCATTTATAGTTTTCAAAAACAAAGTTTTCTATAATAGATTCCACTTCTTACTTAATTCTGTTTGATAAATGTTCATGTGCTAGCACATGCTTCAGTTTAGTAATGTTTTGCATGATACGAATTTCAAAATGTCAGACACACATGAATATCACATGGCTGTCTTAAATCACTAATGTGAACATCTGAAAATGTTCAAGATTAAGGATAATTTAAAGGCTCAAGTAGCTCAATTCTACACTGCTGCTGCCTCTGCAGCATACATACGTTGTAATGCACCCAAAACTCGTGCCTCAACAGCAAAATATATCACTGCCTTCTTCTTTCAATACAAAAATACACTTTGTCCACCATAAATCCCACACCTGTTTTACTTTATCCTTTGCAGCCACGGTTTTTATAATTTTGTCCAAGACTATTTCTGTTGTTTGCTCTCAACTCAGAGTGTGTTTGCCCATTTTTCCAGCGTCTGTTTTGGTACTAGCATGACAGCAACACATACTGGTAGTTTCTGTGATGTTCTACATCATCAGCTGTCTAATTCTATATGTTTCATTCTCCAGTCCATTAAAACCATATTACTGTTGTAAGATTTGACATTTTCACAGAGATAGTATACAATGATAGCTCCTCAGGCAATCAGCTATATCAACATGGAGTCTGTTCACCAACATTTCAGAGCATCTCTAGTCTCCCTCATTAGGGAATGACATGTCATATCCAAACACTAACTTTATACACAGAGCGATCTGTCAGCTGCCCCCATACATATTGCACATTCCAACCACTGTTCACTTTGTGGTATATCCTGTGGTAGCAGAAAGCTTACCCTGTGTACACACACAGCTTCCAAATATGACAGGTCCTCACATGAACCCCCTCATGATGGAGAGAGTCTTTCTGAAATTTTCAACACACACTCCACACCAACATAGCTGGAAATTACTGTTGTCTACATACAAACCAATACTCACTGGAACAAGAGTACCATGACAATACACTACTGACACATGAAATTTCCCAGTGAACTTTACAGCAATTACATTTCAGTGAACAAAATTTCTTAAGCTCCAAAAACAACTGAGTTATATGAAGCATCACTTTTACATAAATAATTTCACACAAGCATGGTACTTGAATGTAACAAGTGCTTACACAAATTGAAAGAGACTGCACTTTAATTAACACATTCCTTCAGCTCACTGTAGCGTACATTCACAACATGCTACGACATTGAGTTTCGTAATAAATCAGCTGGTTACTTAACTTCATTATTTCAGTAACTACACCTTGAAACCCTAGTATGGCTGCTGGATGAATAAGAAAATGGAAGCAGAAACTGGAGTAACCTGAAATTACCTGAATCAACAGACCCATCAGCACAGAACATGAACTGCTTGTGCCAGGTGAGAGACTCGGCCATTCCCGACACAACTGGGTAGCCTTCATACCATAACAGCAGCCATGTACTTGGAGAAGGTCATGGTTATGGTCATAGTCATGAAGCTGCAGATAGCAGGATACTGGAGATCAGAGCAATTACTTTGATTTACAAAAAAACTCACCTAGAGCTGCTCTTTCCTGACTCACAGTTCCCTGGGCCATATCCTTGATACGAAGGTGTGGACGTGCCACGACCACAAGGGATGGGAATGTCTTGCCTGAGAGTTTGTTGAATGTTACCTCTCTGGAATCAGCCACGTTTGTACTAGATGGTTTCCCATCATCATCAGTCAGGTCTACCACAGGAGCATTTACTGCAACATGCCAATAAAGCTTAGCTTAAAATGCTCATAAACTGGAAACTGGACAGGAAGATTCACAACACATCAATCATGAACATGACTAAACACAGCAAACCCACCATTTTTGGTTTCTTTGGGGATCAGTGGATCGGAACACTAAAGTGAGCAAAATCTTAAATGGAGATAATTTAACAGACACTGACTTGGGATCAATGAAGTGAATGATAAATGAGAAAAATTCACTTCAAAATGTAAGAAAAAGTATGACTTCCTAAAGTTATATTTTTACAAAACAGAATTTGGTAGATGGATACGTGGGATATTTGTGACAATAGTAAAATATGACTTCCAAGACTGAAGGTTGAGCAGACATGGAACATAAAGCAGAACTTTGTTAAAAAACCTTTAAGAGAGGGGCCATTTATATTCTGGTAATGGCAGCATGCCGGAGTTAATTTAAATGCCCGCCACTGTAGAATATTAAAAATTGTAAGCATGTTACTGAAAATGCTGTGATTTCTACAATTTTTGTGATAAATGGATGAAATAAACGCTGCTTTTATCTAGAAAGAATATAGAATCAGATAGTGTAATTTACCGATTTTAAAATTTGTAAAAATTGTTACACTGATTCCAAAAAGAAATTTTTTCCCAATTTCGAGCATCTGTCCAGAAATTTGCATACAGTTTCTGTACAAAACGTTTCTGCAGTATAAATGCATGCTGCTGACATCCTGTCTTACTGTGTCTTATCTGGCAAAAGGGGTGGAAATTTATGTTTGTATTGCACATTCTCCAGTCATGTCGGAACCTTTCCGTATGCATGAGTATGGGCAAAGTCTTATCGTATTTTGTCCTTCAGAAACTTTGACTGTGTATATTTTGGACTACCCACACAGAGGTACTGTTCTAGGAATAGCCCCACACTGCCAAAACATTCAAGACTAGTGCACTGTGTTGTGTATAAAACATCACAATTTCAACTATCCACAATGGCCTCATTTTGCATGGAAGAAGCCGAAATTGAGATTCAGCTGATAAATGACACCGATTCAGACTGCGGTACAAACGACTCTGAGAGTAGCGAGGAAGCAAGGGGCTCAGAAACCAAAGTCGACGAAGACCCATCATCTTCGTTGGCAACCTGGGTACCACCAGACCAGCATGGCAGGAGGGGTGTGAATAATTATTCCGGTGGAGCTGTGGGGTTAAATATCAATGAAGCTCCACACGTAAATAAGGATTCCACCCCTTTCAGCATTTTCATGCTCTACTTCACAGAGATTATCCGTCTGCTGGTGAAAGGGATGAACAGGTACTACCACCAGTACATAGACAGACTTCAAGACGGACCTTTTCTGGGGCCTGACATGACCAATTCCGAGATGTTTCTGTTTCTAGGAATAATCATCCAAATGGGACATGACATTAGAGATAGACTAAAGGACTACTGGTCAACTACAGAACAATTTTCCACGCCTTTCTACTCTAACACAATGAAACGGGACCATTTTCTACACATTCTTCTTTTTCTTCATTTTGCAGACAACAATACAGAAACTGACAGGAATGCCAACTATGGAAAATTCGGACCATCTTCGACACTCTCAATGATGCATATGAAAAATATTATAACCCTTCTGAACATTTGGCTATAGAGGAGATAATTGTTAAATTAAAAGGGAGGGAGGTTTTTAGGCAGTACATTCCTAAGAAACACAAATGTGTCGGAATCAAAATCTTCAAAATTTGTGACGCTGCTGGGTATACTTATAACATGAAAGTTTACATAGGAAAAGACAGGACACATGCCGACCAAGACATGACAGAGACACGTGCTACAGTTAGGGACCTATGCAGATGTACTGAGGGTGTATGTCACAAACTGTACATGGACAATTTCTTTTCATCACAAGACTTGTTTGACAAACTGATGACAAAGGACATAATGTGCTGTGGGACAGTCAGACCTAATCAGAAGGGCTTGCCTGACGATTTTCAACGAAGACAATTTCGACTGAAGAAAAGTGAATGGGTCGACCTCCTGCTGTGTCATCGGCGATATCTCGATTAGAGGAGGCCACTCGACATCATTGGCCGACTTTCTCTAATAAGAGACTGAGGTGTCGTGTGGGCTCTTCGCATGGGAAACGGAGTTACATCCGGACAAAGTGCATGAAGTGCAACGTCGGACTCTGCATTTCCAGATGTTTCCAACACGAAGGCAATATTCAGTTAGATGACACAGGAGGGAAGACTGTCTACTTATAAAGCTGGTGCCCAAAAATAATGTAAGTAGAACAAGAATTTCTAGCTGGTGCCCAAAAATAATGTAAGTAGAACAAGAATTTCTATCTTAAAATTAGATTTTAAAACACTGTGCACACGCGTGGACTGCGCGTACCCATTCGGTGTCGCACAGCCATTCAGCTGCACTTTAAGGTCTCCATACAGTGTCGCTAGGCTCTTAAAGGTTAAAGACACAGTACTACTGGGTTTCTGGAATTGTTCCCATCATCTGGAATTCTAGGTAATAGACGACACGTTTCAGAAACTGGATCTGTTTCAGTCTTCAGGTGAGAAACGAAGGCACCTACTCAGTAGGGCCCCTTAGAAAGAGCTAATCTCAATCACTGGTACTCAGTTGGGCCCCTTTCTGAGGGGCCAAACTGAGTAGGTGCCTTCCTTTCTCACCTGAAGATGGAAACAGATCCAGTTTCCAAAATGTCATGTCCTCTGTTATCTACAATTCTGGACGATGGAGAAAGTCTAAAAACCTAGTAATTCTGTGTATCATCCACCATCGTCAGAACCCTTTAGAATGTTTAAAGACACCTGCTACCAAAAACTTCTTAAGCATAAAGACTAAATTTGAATTCAGTGGACTCTCTCACTCTTCTATTGCTTCAGATATAATTAAGAATATGGCAAGAGCAAAACATAATATTTTAACAGCAGGACTTACATTTACAATTACAGAAGAATACTGAAGACTGGAACTACACAGGTACATGACATTATTTTATAGTTATGGAATACCAAAATTGCAAAAAACATGTACATAAAATGGTCTGGGTACCAAACTTCCAAATTTGTTACCCATCTGTCATGCAATGAATGGAAGTCTTTATATACAGCTGACATCCATTATAATGACAATTCATGACAGTATGAGAAATTCATGCTATAATCGCCATAGGCAGCTTACAATCTATAGATGTACAAACCCCTCCAAAAATGAAAATCAGTACAAACACTGCACATCGTCTCATATAGCACTGACAATGAATATGTCACCTTGGAAATTAAATGAACGGTTACTCAGCAGACCACTGTTGGGTTCTGAACACCAAACAGTGAAATTTGTCAAACTGGCAAAGCAAGCTCTGACAAAACCAACACTATTTATTTGGGCGTCTACTGCATTTACTATTATTTTCCTGAAAATACCAACTATGCACTTTTATTTATGTAGATGGTCTCCACAAATCATCAAAATCACAGAGCTGTTTTCAAGTAAATCAACATTTTGATTTTGGGGGTTCATCTTAAGGGCCCCTAGTTTGGAAGCTTGAATGTTCATATTCATTGGGTATTAACTTATGACAAACTTACTATAAACTGAGATCGGTAGTACACCATGAAGCAATACTACAGTTAACGTGAATTTGGGAGTGGTAGAGATAGCAGTACAACAACTTTCTATATGCAGACATGTTTCTTAGTAGGCACTCAGATTTGGTACAAATAGTTTTTTAAACTCTTCACTTCTTTGTCAAACACCTGAGCCTGCAAACCCAGCAGAACAGTACTACCAACCTGTGCCTGTGGTTGTGGGTCTCCAAGGTTTACTGCCTGGGCCTGTTGACAGTCCACCAACACTGTTGCTTTCAGTGGGCCTTGCATTAGAACTGGAAGCTGGTGAGACCTTGCTGGCTGTGGCAGGACTTTTGACATTGGTGCCTTTTTGGTTTGGAGGTGGTTTTGGGGGCTTGATCCTAAGGCTTGGTATTGTGGGAGTGGATGCTGCTGTTGGCAAAGCAGTAGACACCACATGCAATTTTGCTGGAGGCTGTCCGGCAGGAACCTGGGTACTGGGCGTTGTATTTGTCTGCATCCTCATACTGTTGGTGCGAGTATGCACAGTTGAGCGGGTCTGGATGTTTTGTGCCTGCAACAATTGGCAAGTGATTTAGAATGAAGCATGCATTTCCCAACTTTAACCTTCCAATGCTGATGATTAAAATCAATAACGACTGTAAAAAATTACTTACACATATTATACACCACCCCTTTCGTTGAATACATCCACTTATTATATTACAATTTTAATTCTTTAAGTGCCTGTCCATATACTAGGATTTTATGCTGGCAACACAATGAATATGTCCTATAACTAGAACTTCACTGTAATGAGAAAAAATCATGACTGTGAGTACGTTACATACACGTAAAAGCCTCATATAAAATGAGGGTACCATTACCACAAGTGACCTCTAGCTAGCCATAAATTTTTTCATGAACTGTAATTGCAAGTTTGCTTCCCAACCTACTGACAGCTTGTAATCCATAATGGTATCATTAAACCACATCCTGCACCTGTCTCCTGCTTGAGATAGAACAGACTGTGTTCCAGCATATGAGGAGAGTAAACAGAGGTTTTTTTTTACATTGATGCAGTTAAGTACTTGGCACATGAAGCCACTCTAACTCATGGCTGAAAAACATCAGCCAATAACTGCAAGTACAAGAGGAGGCAGTGTAAGCATGAGAAAATCCTTAACTTCTCAGTTGAGATAATACTACAGATATTGTGAATCTTGGAATTATTCTTCGTTATATGTTTACATGAAAACAACTTCAAGAAATTTATGAAATGTTCACACAACATAACAATTCTGACATGTTTGTTTAATTATTACCTGCAGACAGCATATAAACCATTTTGTTTCACTACCTCAAAAATCTTTCAACTTACAGCGAAAATATAATGGACATGAACTGTTTCAATTGTTCAAAACAATTTCAATTCTGATAAATGTTAAACAAGTTCATGTGATTTAAGCATTAGCTGCGCACAGAAAGACATTCTGGCAGTGTCCTTTGTCAAAGTCGGATTTGAACAAAAAATGAAATACGTTAAATATTTTAGCAAAACCCTCAAATATGAAGTTTTGTGAAAATCCATTTTGAGTTGTTACATGCAGACAGACAATTCTGATGAAGCTAATACTGATATTTTCACAAGTTTTAGTTGCAAATGCACTGAAAAAAATAAACATTGCAGTGTTTCATTATTCTTTAAATTTTAGTGCCATACAGTAATATGTATAATTTGAAGCTGGGCTTCAGATTATGTATTTCAGCCACTTCCAGATATTATAAGTACTTATTACTTTGAGTGCTTCATGAATTTTATAAATTCTCATTATATTGTGGTTGAACTGTATTTGCTGGGCCAACAATTTTCCCATAAATACTTAATTTTGAACTCCTACATTCGAAAGAGAAATGGAAAATAATGATTAAGAAACAATCAACAATTGTCATATGATTTGATTTTAAGCTTCAAAAAGATATACTTAAAGTTTCTTTGCATCTGAGTGACATCTGAAGGAGACTTATGACATTTACATATACAATGACAAAAGCTCATCACCTGATGACACACATCCTGGCATGAAGTAAACTCGTTAGGTGGGAGTAACACTAGAACCACTTAACATAAGGTCCTCATATAATGTGTAAGTTCTTTTCCCTTTATTTTTATCACACTCAATAATAATTAGCACATTCTACTTGCTACTAACCACAATGTTTTAAGTAAATCATGAGAAACTTACACTACTCACTAATGTTGTAGTTTTGGCGAGACTGGTAGTATTCTGGATAACAGGTGTGCCTGCAACAAATACCAGTACATACATGCCTGATTTGGATAAAGAACAAAAGTTTACAAAAGGATTTAATTCCTAACCACCCAATGATACACAGAAAAGATGATTGCTACTACACACCAACTCCTTCACATGCTTGAAAACTGAAAGCACAACATTCAGCTTTTGACTCAAGTAACTAAAAGCACTGAACTTTTGCCTACCAGTTTTGGTGCCATTTTCAACCAAGGAGGAGCACATTTTGCAGCATTCAGGACATTTTCCTTCACCAAGGGTACCTGTAGCATGCAACATCCTGGAAATTTCCTATGTGACCATGGAACCTGGATGTGCTTCTCTACATATCATTACTACAATATTGCAACTGCTCTAAAAACCATTTACACCATTGAAAATAATTTTAAAACATTATACAGACCTGCCATGCCACAAGACACAATGGTCACTAAGGACTCTGTCATTAAAGACTACTCCTATGACATCAGTTTTCAAAATCATGGTTTCAAGTCCTGCCCCCAGCACAAACATTTCTGCCTGAAAAATACTGAGACATGGTTCCCAGGATTCAGAAATCTCAGGAAATGTGGGAGAAATGTTCAAAGACCTGCAAACATTTTGTAACTTTTGCCTAAACTTTCTTTCTCAACCTTTCTGTGAAAACTAATACCAAAAGTAATCCAGTTTGCAAAGAATGGTGCAGCCCTAGTTTGCCACCCCCCCCAGCAAAATATAATGAAGAGGTTATAAGACATTTTTACAGAGAGCATCAGTGACATACAACAAACTCCAGATGTAGAAATACATCCAAGTAACTAATGGGAAGCACACCAACTGCCCCCATCTTTCCAAACACACCTGGTGTAGCCTGTGGTGAGGTTACAGTACCCACAATAAGTCCAAGTCGTGGGTCCATCACCAGCTGGTAAGTTCCTGGTGAGTGTAGGGCATTTCCAGCAGATGCTCTTGTCATCACCCCTTGTGTCTGAGGTGAACCCTGCAAACATGCAACCAAGTTCATAATCAAATACATTTAACTGGTTTGTTCTAGAATTGCTAATTATTATTTTTTCTTATATGTTGGGATTTTGGACTTTATCCATCGTCCTGGTTTTTAAGATAACAAATAAAAACACGACGTTTCGGAAACTGGATCTGTTTCCGTCCTCAGGTGAAGGAAAACACCTATTCAGTTGGGTCCCTTAGAAAGAGCTAGCCTCAATCACTGGACAANCAGAACAATGCCATACATGATACTAGTAGAATTTGCAGGAACAAAACAGGAAATATATGGAAAACAAAGTCAATGAGCTTGACATACAACAAATATTGTAGACATCCATACAGACACAAATAAATCTAACCACGGAGTTCATATGATAAAGGATGAAAATGAATTTGCAGATTCCTTATATTCAGCAAAGGTAAAAACTTTACATCAACTGTCTATTAAATGTACATAGACTGAAATACATACTGTTGAGTCATTGGTATCAAATCCTAATTAGATCATACTGCTATCCAAGTTATGTAAAAATTGACAGGTATTCCTCAAATTATAACACAAGATCATACATGGAGATAAAAATACTACAATAAGATCCACAAACTTACTATATTTTGAATAAAACAACTGCCACAAGTGTGTAAGAAATCTATTATCGCGCCCACTTTTATAACGGACAATCAAGCAGAATTTTGTTACACACCAAGAAAAACTAACACAATATGGCGCAAGCATTTGATGACTAATGACTGGCTACTTAGGCAACAGATCTGATTCATGTTGATTTTTTCCCAGACAAGACTTGGATTTGTCTGAAGAGACAGCTGCACACACTAAATAACAAAAAAGTGAATAAAAAATTCCACATCTTACACAAATTTCAATTTGCTGTGGGGATGCTTAGAAGAAGAAATTTATCAAACCAATCCACATAGAAAAACTCAAAGAGAAAATGTATGCTTTGAATTCTCCTGCATATCCAGAAAACTAAAGCATATGGCCCAGATTGTTTTCAGTGATGAAATCTCAGCATATGCAGAAAACAGTCATTATTCTTGCCTTTCAGTAGAACGGAGTATATACCAAAACTCACCAGTTGATAAAAAATCGACATAACATCACAGTCAAATGGTTAGAACTGATTCGTAATAAGGTTTCAGTACCAATGTTGGCACAAGAACATTATTCTGACAGGTTTTACATGCTATTTTCAGTCCCTGCTGGGAAATTTATTAAATTATGTTACAATTCCTTTCTTCCACATACTTCTAAATTCATTATTCACTAATGGCTCTATCAATCCACCTCACATAATATGAGTACCTGAAAGTGTCATTAAATAAACACATAATACATACTGAAACTGTCCGAGAACAAAAAGCCGAGGGAAACATTTGGACCTAAAAGACAGTAAGATGTATGAGAAAGTTATATCATGAGTTTTTCATAAACTATACTCTTTACATAGGCCTAACATAGGTCATTAAATCATGGTGAAAGAAAGCAATATGCAGTATGCATGAGAGAGACGTGAACTGCATATACAGAGTGTTTTACACTATACCCCCTTCAAGCCTGTAATCACTTTCAACACCCTGTATAATGCTGATCAACAAGAAATCACAAAGGATCCAATTAGTAAGCTTCAAATTTACACAAACTTAACATTCTATTTATGGGGTTTCCTCTGAAACCAGTCACAGTACAAGTGTTTAAAAAAATCAGTGTGTTAGAAAAGTGAGCATGCACATGGCATTCCAAAACCTGCTTTCTCTAAAACATTCTTCCACATTAAAATCTTACTCACATATGCAACATAAAACATTTGTTTCTTAATTAATAAGTTCTAAAACCACTACTACACAATACATAATATAAGCTAAATCATAACATTTAAATGCCTCCACTGATGCAGTAACAACACAAGTCTCTACCTTCCCACATTCATCTTGCTTTACACTGAGTTACAGATATGGGTCCTTTTACCAAAAGAAATATCACACTTATCCAGTATTTGAGCTGCTACAAAGCACATAATGTATGTGAGCTACTTATTGGAAGTTAGAAAGGTAGTCTGATGCTTCAAGGAACACCATGAACCAGCAGCCACTGGTAAGGTAATACATGTGGCACAGAAGCAAATCAGCTGTATTTCTTAAGGATTATAACCTGGACTACATAAAAAGAAATCACATAATTGCTCTTGAAGATGTGTATCCAGTACAACACATAGTGGGCAAAAAAAAAACTAAAAATAAATTCAGGACCAACTCTCAGAACAGGAAAGCAACAGTTATTTGAAGTACACAAACTATAACTTCTGGCTATGTAACACATTACAGCATATTGCTGCATATTATCAGCATCTTCATTTTGTAATTGGAAAAATTCTGATTCATGTAATTATGCCTGAATACTGGTAATTTTAAAACGAGAAGGGGAGACAGATGGAACATGAGTTACTAAAACAGCACATAGGTTTACATCTACATGTATTTAGCTGAACCTTTCAGCAGCCCTTATTTTCATACCAAAATTATTTATTAATGAAAAAACTGTGTTAATTCTGCTGCAAACCCTAAACTGCAACTAACCTGTAGGTTCAGCGAAGCTTATATCAATGGACACAATCCTTGCATGGTTTCCTTCCTCAGCTACACCACTACCTGTATCTTCTCCATCTTGGTCTTGCAAGCTGTTAATTCCCCAGGTTTACAAACTAAAATTATGAAAGCATTCTTGTCCCCATGAAATCTACAGGCCCAGACCATCAGAGTCTGATAGATTTCACTTGCTAACAATATTTGAACACTAATTTAAATTCATTAAGTTCATCAATATGAAATATCTGAAACTGCCTTCATACTTAATCCTTCATACATCTAAATGTTCTCCAAAAATGTAAATTATAAGGAACATAAATCCCTTGGAAGCAACAAGTTATGTATCAATGTGATACCTGCAGAATGACAGGACCCGTGGCTGTCTGCAGTGCCTGTACCATGGCATTGGTTGAAGGTGGTGGTTGAGCAATGAGGGCTGCAGACTGGCGTGTCACAGGAGATGTCACAGACTTGCCTGTGCTTGGTGTGCTTGCCGTTAAAGCAGGGACTGGTGGAGGAGAGCTGAGGAGCATTCAAGGTTACATATGTGTGACTAACAAGGAATCCAACCAGTATTTTTTCTATACATATGGGTGAAACTGGGATTTCTAGCAGCTGGGAAAATATCCTTATATGATCTTCAATTAAGAGCATCACAGCTCCCAGCCCCTCAGAAACCTCGAAGCCCAGTAGTTCTATATGTATCACCTGCTTTTATATATTAGAGCTCTGCATTCTGCCTACAGAGTGCATCTATATGCTATGTATGTTCTCACAGTTAACAGCGATTGTTTACCTACACAGCATTAACCAGATTATCTTTGTAGCAGATGTAATGCATTCCCTGTGAGCTACGACAAGAATATTTATATATTTAGAAAAAAAGTTCAGTTAAGATAACAGATACAGATAACAGAAAATACCATTACAGCCAGTTAGTTTTTATTTTGTACCAACAGATTCTATACTGAGCACACATCAACCTCCCACCCAGGGATCCACATGGTGAAGTGTCTGGTTCCATTCCCTTTCACAAAGTAATACTTAGGCTCTTACACTCACAACTTCAAAGAATTTATGTCATTATAGACAGCAGCTGCATTAATAAATAAGAAGTTTGTGGATAAACAAACCACTTGCACTTTTTGACACATGTTTATATACTTCAACAAAACAGAACAGAGTCTATACCTGAGAATGGTTCAAAATTATCATGGAATCAGACTTTTTAAACACAAAGATGCATGAAAATGTATAATCTTGTTTAGTTCAGGCACCTGCTCTCCCCAAGCCTCATATCCAAGAAGTCTTGGATGTTCTTTCCCCAAGGGTAAAGCAGATGGTGCATGAAGGTGATGACTCACCAACACCCAGTGCCAAGGATGAGATTGTATGCAACTTTATTTCCATTCATTCACAAACCTTCATGGCACACTGCTTAAGCATGAAGTATGGGCAGCACACTAGAGCCAGCAATGGGTACTGTGATAATTTGGTCTAATATGTGACTTCCACACTTCAAAATTCAAAACCAGTCTGTGCAACATTACATGGCTTGAAAATCTTTCTTCAGAAACTAGACACAAGAAAACAAAACATTTGAAGGTGCATCTTACATCAGTTATATACTCAAAAAAATTCAAAAAGTTTGTGCAACATAGTACATTAACAGTCCTTCTGCAAAAGCTGGACACATGAAACCAAACTAAACAGTGTACTGTGAGTGCATCTAACTAACTACATGGAGCTGAGCCCTTCTTAAGCCACCAGTTGTGCATCAATTTTAATATTATCTACATACCTACACCTTGGTCTTCCTAGTGGTCTCTTTCCTTCTGCCCTTCCCACAAATATCCTACACATATTTCTCTTCTCCCCATTCGTGATACATTCCCTGCACATCTCATCACCCTTGACTTGATAATTCTAGTTATAATTGGTGAAGAGCACAAATTATGAAGCTCCTCATTATGCAGTGTGCTCCAACCTTCCATCTCTTCATCTCACTTTGGTCCAAATATTCTCCTCAACACCCTGTTCTCAAACACCTCAGTTTATGATACTCCATTAATGTCAAAGACTAAGTTTCACACCCATACAGCAGCACAGGCATAATTATAGTTCTATATATTCTAATTTTTAAGATTTTAGACATCAGATGAGAAGATAAAAGATTGTTGACTGAATGGTAGCAGGCATTAACTGAATTCAACCTCCACTTACTTTAACAAGAATCAAAATAAAAAAAAAATGTACCTCATTTTCAAAGAATCTGTTAGCTATCTTTATGTCATGATTTTGCCCTGCATTTTGGTGATGAGACAGCAACATATATTTAATTTTCTCTGTGTTTACTTCTATGCCAAAAGATATACAAAGCAACCTCATACACACATATATATATAAGTAATACTGTACCTGTTATTCATTTGCACAACATAGACCGAATCAGATTTCTCGATGATTTCGCCACCAAGATTCTTCATCATCTGTTCCAGCTTGGCTGTCACCTCCTTGTACTCCTTCTCTCCCTTGTTGTATGCTGAAACCTGCTCTGGGGTAAGTGCTTCGTCATGACATTCCATCTGCAGCCCAATGTCCGGTGGCTTCTTGCCATAGTTACGACCTGATCGACTCATTCTGCCAATGGCGTCTTCTTAACAAAGCTGCAAATATGCAGAACACTCTTCCCTGTAACACCCACAGCTCATTCCACATGAAATGACAGTCTTTTAGACAGTCCATCATTATCAGCAGCATCAAGGATTAGCTTCAAATTCTACTAATTACATTTTCTGATCAAAAACTCAGTAAACCAACACAAGATGCTAACTGCCTCTCTAGCCACTGCAACTTCATTTTAACTCAAATATCACAGCCAATACTTGGTTCAGGACGACTGAACTGATACAGCGGCAGAAGAGAAAGGGTCAAACCCATTCTGGAACTCCAGGGGGGGATGATGATCCCTAAAGACCGATTCCAAATATCACAGAAAATATCTGGTTCAGATTTCGACTGAAGAGAAGGAACCTAAATTATGTTGAAAATGGAGAGGGGAGGAGGGTGAGGGGAGAGTAATGAGGAGTAGGAGAGAGAACAAGCGGCTGCAAATCCCTAAAGACTGATTCCTGATATAAGAGCCAATACTCGGTTCAGTTTGACCAAACTGTTAAGACACATTAGAGGAAAGAGGCCTGAATTGTGTTGGAAATTTGAAGACCAAGAAGGAAATCCCTAAAGAGTTGTGGCTGCAGGAATCAACGGAGTAAATTCCAGTAACTGCAGTTTCACAAATCACAATGAAGAGCAGAACTGTCATCTTAGAGTCATCAATGGATCACAACAGAACAGGGAACAAAATACAAGGGTTGGAAAAAAAGTAGTGGCAACACTGCTGTAACATGAAAGATGTGGGTCAGGTGGCACTACCGCCATCTGTAGCTGATAGAAGAAGTTCAGTTGAAGTAGTGCAGGGAGTGGCTCTGGTTGTGTTTCATTGAGTTGCATTGTGCATCGTCTTGAAGTGCAGGAGCCCAGTTCAAGCACCCTAACAACATGTTTACGAAACAAGAACAAAGCTCCTGGATAAAAAATTGAAGTTGCACGAGGTCGTAGTGCACAAAACTGTTATCGGGGACTGCGAGAAGCATGTGGTGATGCTGCTTTGCCATATCGCATAATGGCGCAATGGGTGAAATTGTTCCGTGAAGGGAGGGATGCCATTCAGGACAGCTGGCGTTCAGGACGACCCTATGTTGACAACCACACAATTCAGCTTCTTGCTTCTTTGCTGGATGTCGATTATCAATGGGCTGTGCGGGAGTTAGCTGCTGAGGTAGGCGTATGTTACAAAACTGTGCTCCACAGGCTGCATGATATTCTTGGATACTGCAAAATTGCAGGGTGTTGGGTACCCCATACAATGTCCAAGGTGCAACAATGGCCATGTTATGCAATTGCACAGGACTTGTTGGACCGGTACCAGAGGGAAGGTGATGACTTCCTTGGAAGGATCATCACTCTGGATGAAACTTGGGCTTGCTCATACGAACCGCACTTGAAACGACAATCAAATAAATGGAAGCATCCTGACTCTCCTCGTCCAAAGAAAGTGCGCCCTACACAGAGTAATGTGAAGGCGATGTTCACTGCGGCACTGATGGAGTGATACTGCACCACACTGTACCTCAATGACAGACAGTAAACGCTGCCTACTACCGCAATTTCCTGTGTAATCATCTTCGTCCAGCACTCAGGATAAAGCAACGACACTTGTTGGCAATGAATCCCATCATCCTTCATGACAATGCAAGGTGACGGTGTCAAGGATCTCCTTCGCCACTGGTGATGGGAGATACTGCAACATCCGCCATACTCACCTGATATGAGTCCGTGCGATTATGATCTCTTTGCCAAAATGAAAGAACCACTGCGAGGGACACGTTACAACACAAGAGAGGAGATTATTTGTGCTGTGGGGCGGTCACCGCTGGACATCAACAGAAGTGGATGCACTGATGGTGTATGACAGCTTCCACAAATTTGGCAGGTGGTGGTACACAAGGGGTGTGATTATATTGAAGGAATGTAAGTGTGTTTACCTCAGGTAATAAAGTCATTTCAGAACTATAGAGGTGTTGCCACTACTTTTTATCTGACCTTTGTATATCTTACAATCTTACATTTGTATATCTTGTTACACTCTGAGAAACAGTTTTCTCAATGCACAAGATAAAAAAAGTCCAAATTATTGTCCTGCCCTATGGCAATTTTCTTTGCAATTTTTGACACAAATGTACAAAATACCTTTATTCCATGTAATTCTTAGAAGAACAATTATCATATTCCCACACTTGAATTCATAATACAAGTGACCACTCATGTGAAGATCAGAGTTCAAAATTGTCAAATTACTGAGTTTCAGTCTTGTACTTAGACATGCTTCATTAACACTTTGTGGACCGGACACATGATATCAAGCTTTCGCTTTTAAACATGGCAGACCAGTCGCATGATATCATGATTTTAGGACAGGTAAGGTTGTAACACACTATACCTTGCTCTGGTGCCACGCAACTGCAATGAATACTGCGTAATAAATCTTCGAAATGTATGCTAGGTATTCAGTAACTTGACCTGGCTGGCTAGGGTCCCTACTCCGAAAGAAAATAAACTTTGCCCCTTCCAGCTGTTTATGTACCAGGCAGGAAGTTAGTAGAGGCGAATATGTTTCAAGGACAAAAGCGGTTGCGATTGACTTGTTTTCCGATGAGCTATCTGACATGCCTTGTGGAGGAGTAGTGATTAGTGACTCTGACAGTGGAAGTGACAGGGGTCAACAAAGAATTGTGGCCACAGATAATAAAAGTGAAAATTGACTTGTGTCTTATAAATTGTGCCATTTTCAATTCATTTTTGTTTTACAAAAATCTAAACCCTGATCTGAAATTGAAATACAAAGCATTTCTGATGAATGTGGCAAAGGCTTGGGCCACAGACCAGATGGTGGGGGCAGAACCAGAGTCAGACAGACTTAGTGCAACCTAGCCCATCAACTCCCACCCCACGCAGGCCTCATGTAGCGGAAACATACACTCGCGAAAATTGTGAAGAGTGAACATGCCAAGGGGAAGCATCCTTCTAGGCAATGCCGTGTTTGCGCAGTTCACAAAAAAAGACTATGACTGTCTACATTTGCAAGTGAGTAATGCCACTTCACAAAGGGGAGTGTTAACAGAAATATCACACACTTAAGCACTTCTAGCAGCATTGGTAAGTGTTCTCCAAAAATTTTAGTTCATAAAATTAATTAGGAGATTTTATATTAAATTTTAAAGTGAACAGTGCACAAGTTAGGGTAGTAGGTATAAAAATGCCGCTCCCCAGGGTGATTTAAATATTTAAATCACCGGTCTGCAAAGTGTTAAGAAAGAAAACCCTCAACCAGATGAGATACTTCAGAATAGGTCACAGACATACTTATCTCACACATGAAGAAAACCTGCGTTTTTTAAGTTTGCATTACAACTGTTAACCACGCAGAGAAGATATGTAAACCTCAAGCTGACAGCCTTGAAACTGAATCAAATTCAGACATTCAAAGCCTCAAGAACTGAGAGAAATTCAGTATTTTACAAACTTGAAATATAGTTAAATTTATTCCGGTATTTGATTTGTTTCATTCTGGTCCATCACACTAATAATATCAAGAAAAGTTAAACAGTTCCGTCTAGTGTCACTAGTGAAGATTTTTCTTATTTCAATTATTTATGCCCTTAAATGTTTCGGTCTTCAGAGACCATCATCAGAGGGCCACCTTTACATCAATACTGTTAGAAGCTACTATTACAATACATGTTCCGAAAGTTAAAATGTATACATAAAATATTAATATGAGTAATGTACAACTGGGTACAAAATCTAAAGTCTTTATAACTACAGCGGCTGTTCCAATGCACTAAAATATTTAAACTGGTATGTTAAGACTACTGAAATTCGTAAACCAAGCAGGTTCGTGTTGTCCCTCTTATTATTTCTTGTGATAGGGGCCGAATGTATGCCGCCTTGCCATTCTCGTGAAGAGGGGCAGCACACATTTGGCCCCGTCAAAAGAAATAATAGTAGTTCCAACCTTGATGGCATCACTGAGTTTTGTTTGAAAAAGAGTGAATTTTAACATATGCTCAAGTAACAGTGACTTATGAAGCAGCAAAACAATATACATTACCACACTACACATGAATGCAGTTACAAAACACAGATGAGAATTCATGTTTTGCTCATTAGTATTTACAGCTGCTCAATGCTCTGTATTGTTAGGTCAGCTGTTCAATCTACAGCATTAGTTGAACTGACCATGTTGGTAACAACTTCACTTGTTGCTTCTATTTCAGTTTCAACTGCTGTTGCAGTTCCTTCTTCATTAAAAGACTCAATCAGTGCCATCAAGATAAACCCAAATTATTATTCATTCTCTCTTCTTCCTTCATATCACCATTCTTCCAACAATTTTCAACCCATTTTCTGACATTCTCAATAATGCTGAGTCATTTTCTGTGACTGCAATGAAGGCACCAGCAGCCATCTTCCCCATTCAGACAGAGAAACACTGGACTCATTCCTTTTGCACACTCTTCTCGTTACAATATTGCTATGTACAATTAGCTGTACCTGGCATAACAGATGCCATTCTAGCATATCTTTAATGTTACTACTTAAATACCAACTCATTTTATTTATCTATTCACATATTTCAGTTCTTCCAATGCATTAATTTGTATGAGTCACAAAGTGGATTAACTTGCTGCAGCATCTTGTTGAACTGTTTATTACTTTGGTCATACAGCCTAGATGTGATTGGTTTTCAAGCTGTATTGCTGTTGCTTCAGCAGAATCAAAAATATAAAGCTGTCCATATCTTGGCTTATGTGCCTTGCCTGGATATAGCTGAGACCACATTATAAACCTCGCTGTGTATCCAGAAACAATAGACCATTTCCAGACAGCCAAAAATAGTTTCATTTTGATCAAAAGCCATCATTATCTACTGATTATGGAGGGAAATGCATGCACAGAATATCTAGTACATCATCTCTCTTGCTTCCAAATTGCTCCATCTTCACCATGTTATACAATGCAGGGCCTCAGTTCTTAGAAATTTGACAGCCCTGGCAAAGATGATGGCAGTATGTGCAAAATAATACTTTTGCATAAGTTAAACAGACAAGTTTGTTATGGTATTGGTGGCAGTCTAAAATGTTTGGTCATAAGAGACAGCCATCAAAGACAGTGTGTATTATATAAATCACCCCAATGACTTTTATAATTTTGTTCGTCACTTTATATATCATCTCTAATTAACTTCAACAAAGATGGGGGGGGGACACACTAAACTGCTAATAAAGTACAACATATTTGTGAAAGGCTAATACATTTCTCCTTGCCACCACCAACACAAAAACCACACAATATAAACATCATAAACACAACCCCTAAGGACTCCCTACACACAGTCCACAGTACAATTCAAGAAACTATGTAGTATTAGCAACGTACAATACAAATTGAAAAAGTAAAAAGTTTTAATTAATTTTAACAAAACTCAGCAATAATTTATATCTTCACCAATCTTAGAACAATGAACTAAAACGATACAGCACAGAAAATATGTAAATAATCCACCCTAGATGACCTTATAAGGTTGGACAAAGTTAAAGAAGAAATAAATATAATATATGACAACCTATAAACACCACCTACAAATGACATCCCCTCCACTCAAATGATTAATCACTGCAACAGGATGCTAAAACACATACTAAGCCTATAACAAAGCGGCCTCCGTAGTCTAGGGGTAACATTCCCACCTCACGACTCAAGGTACGCGGGTTCAAACCCAGCGGAGGTCGTGGAATTTTTAAGGGCGGAAAAATTCAGGGAACAAGTCCTCCGGGAGGGACTTTAAGCTGTGGGTCCCGTGTCGTAGATTTACGGCACGTAAAAGAACCTCATGACTCTAGAAAGCCTCTGAGCTAAATTAGGCCAAAAAGTTTGCCGCCCAAATAGTTTCCAATGCCTCCGATAGATGGGGAAGTATTAGGTACCACTGCCAGAGGAGGGATGACCTCGCTGACAGAAAGGGACTAATTATTAGATACCCCTGCCAAGTAGAGGGTACAAACCTTGCTGGCAGAAAGGGGCGGATAGCGAGCACCAGTATCGGGAGGGGATGGAAACGGTAGAAATTAAAAGGGGGATGTACAATAGACTATCAGTCACGGTGCATGGGGAAACCCACTCCCTCAATAAAAAAAAAAGCCTATAACAATGACATCTGCAGTTCTACCAGGGGACAAGTTTCTCTGGCCACACATACAGCTCTGATGGAGCAGTCATGATGTAACCAACTTTTCAAAATGCACACAACTGTATCTCCTCTTTACTGTATTAACTGCTATGTTCAAAAATAAGTAAAAATAGGACATTAATTTAATGGCACTGTCAGATGTACACATGCTAATACCATACACCTTTAAGGGTATGGAAGGGAATGAAATAATTAAACACAAATAATGTATTCCCTCAACACTACATGTATCAAATATAACTTTCAAAACATCATAACAAGCACTGTTATGACATTTTTCTTTGAATTATATCAACAATCACAGTATACAGAGCATTACATTAATGTTTTAGAAATGTGCAACAAAATTCACAACTGATTCATTCAAATGTTCCTAATTTTCATAATAAAACACTGTATATTTATTTCAGTGTTCCTATAAATAAAAGACTGTACCACATTCCTGATCCTATAGGGATGACCAAAGAGACAGCTACAAGACAATTACATGTAACAGCAACTTGGAAATTCCATGGATCCAAATTTATGCTCAGACAGCTATGAATAAGTAATATAAATGATATATAAAATTAAACGGGACACACGGTAGCGTAGTTGGTTGAGGCACTATGCTACAAGCTGGAAGATCACGGGATCGAATCCCGATGAAGTGGATTTTTTTCAATTAACCTAACATTTCCAGCCACCCTATGGCCCTGAGATCGACTCATCCTCTAACAAATATGAGTACCATAAATATTCCTGGGGGTAAAGGGAGGCCGAAGCGTAAGGCTGACAACCTTGCCGCCATCTGTGAGCTGACTGTCTACAAAATGTGGGAGCCTCAACATCTCACAACCCTATGGGCCTCCACGGCCTGTTAAGGGGATAATTTTACTTTACTTTACTTTACTTGATATAAAATTAAACAATACACTCTACTTCCACTACTACTACACCTCCACCTCCTCCTCCTACTACTGAACAATAATAAAATAGCCAAGATGTCAGGCTCTCCAAACTGAGGTTAACTATTAAAAACTGAACATTTCATTCCACTTCGATCTTCTCCTAATTATGTCAATACCCTGTAACGCAGAAAATACTAAATACGAAAAATTAACTATTAAAAAAAGAAAACAAAATTGTTAGCACCCAGTTTAACAAAGCCCGGTACTTCCCAAACAGTGTCTTTGTCATAATAATGGAGAGCAAATTATCTAAATTCTTTTGTATTTTAAAAATGTTACTAACTGATGGCTTTACTCAGCACGATAAATATAATACACTGTAATAAAATTAATTTAAATCATGTTAACTTGTTCCTACTTACATATATTTGGCGCAAATACTACGACGCTGTATTCAGCTCGTAAACAGTTTCTACTGCAGGAAATTCTCCACAAATGGGCGACAAGAATATTCTAACTGTACTTGAATACCTGACAACGTTGGTACTTCAAAAACTTCATAAATCACGCGACAATTTCAGTAAAACTGCCGAACTAGTAAACTCCAACTGCATTAAGACAAGATGGCTGCTTCAGCATCACACATGACCCTCACACGAACCAATGGCAGCTCCCGTATTCACCCGGGAAAACTACATCAGCGTACTACGTTAGTAAAAAATAAATAGTCCGACCGATATGGACAAGTTTATTATACTGCAAGTTACAGTTCTCATTCATACGTCACTCACATAACACCCCTTTCATGTGGCCATTGTATAATTTCACTATCCCTCACTAATAGCCTGGTAGACAAAATGTAAATATTCCCGCCTCAAATCATTCATAATTACAATTTGTTTAAAATCATTCCTCTTCTATATTAATTAGAGATGATACATAAACAATTACACGAATATGAAATTATCATACGATGAGTAATAACGGTAACACAATTTAATGTAAAATGCCACTTTGTTGTCATTTAAAAAAAAACTACCGACCTTCGGACTGACACAGAAACATGGATTTGACAGGAATGTTTAAACGTCATATCCGGTACAATTTTCCGACTAGTGTCTATATCAGTGTATAGCGGTTTATACTGCAATTTTGATGAATATGAGAAGCAAAGATTTTAACACCAGTGTCTCTTGCTGCTGCAGCTGAAAAGTGCAAAACAATTAAATTTGCCCATGTTGTCTGGTCATTAGATGGAGTGAATGCTGATATACTACTCTGTACACCCTCTATAAAATAAACCAGTTATTGCATATATTCATACCGCTAACTAAAGCCAGGCAAATACCGGAACAGTGCCTGAAATTAGTCCCCGACTACATCTTCCCACGCCCGGGTCAGCTCTCATTCAGTCATTCGACGCAATATAGTTCGAGTGATTGGACGCGTCCTTAAATAGAAAAAACAAACATGCAAACCGAGCTTAGGACCTTTAGCATCTTAATGTCATTGGTACTGGCCGGCGCAATTTTTTTAAAATGGGTATTATATTGAATTGGCAGTTGCGGACAGACAAGTGGCGGTCCTTCAACTTAGGGGTTGAACTTCGTCACAAAGGGTCTCAGACCTGGTCAGATTATTTGGATTAACGACATAAGCTAAAGAAATTGAACTTGAGATTTGATATATGGAATGTAAGAAGTTTCTATACAGCAGGTTATCACATGACGGTGGCATGAGAGATCATCATCAGTAATCTGTCAAGACGACAGGTCCACAGTCTCTTTCAAAACAATTCCTCCACTTAATGCGATCTAGAGCTTTCTCCTTCAAATGACAGTATCCTCTTCTGTCCCCAAGGTCATCCAGCATCTTCTTACGTCTTCTTCCTCGTCTTCTTGTCACTTCTATCCGCCCATCTATCTTTCCTTCGATAGCTTCTTTTAGAAGGCAGTTTCTGCGTAAAACATGACCAATCCAATTAGCCTTCCGTTTTCTTATTTCATGTAGGATATTCCTCTGCTCACTGACTCTAATTAACACTTCTTCATTTCTCACATAATCGGTCCAACTGATCTTCTCCATTCTTCTCCAACACCACATTTCGAAACTTTCCAGATGTTTCTGATCTACTGCCCTAAGTGTCCATGTTTCAGCCCCATACAGAGCTATGCTCCAAATGTAGCATTTCACTAGTTTCTTCCTCAAATTTAAGTCCAATTTGCTGGTAAAAAGATTCTTCTTCTTGCTAAATGCAGCTTTTGCCATGGCAATCCTGGATTTAATTTCACAAGTACACCTTCCATCATCTGTTAACAAGCTACCCAAATATTTAAAACATTTCACATTCTCCACTTGTTTTTGGTCTATCTTTATTGTGACTGGGGTTGGTTGTCTCGAAATTTTCATTACTTTTGTTTTCTCCACATTCATTTCCATGCCATAGCACCTTCCAATTTCAATTAGTCTATCAATCATGCCCTGTAGCACAGTTTCTTCCTTAGCCATTAACATGAGCCATGAGAGATATAAGTTAAATTTAATGGGAGTACAGGTCAGATGGGACAGAGGTGGCACCAAACCAGCAGGCAAATATACACTATTCAATGGAAAGTGGAATGAGAATCATAAATCAGGCACAGATTTTTCGTGCATAGGAGAATCATATCAGCAGTTCAGAGGGTAGAGTCTGTTAATGACAGGATGCCATTCATAATATTAAGAGGCTGCTGGTGTGATGTCATTGTTTCAAACGTTCATGCACCAACAGAGGATAAAATTGATGATGTGAAGGACAGTATCTATGAGGAATTAGAACATGCATTTGGTACAGTCCCTAAATACATATAAAAATTTTATTAGGAGATTCCAGTGCCCAAGTAAGTAGGGATGACATTTTCAAACCAACAACTGGGAATGAGAGTTTACACAAAATTCTCAATGGCAATGAAGTTAGTGTAGTAAACTTTGCCATATCAAAAAATCTGTCAAAAGTACAAAGTTTCCACAATATAACATCCATAAATTTACTAGGACATCTGCTGGAGAGACACAATAAAACTGACCACATTTTGATAAGTGAGGAAACGATATTCAAGTGTATGTGATGTCTGATCCCTCAGGGCAGCAGATTGTGATACTGACCACTGGTGGCAAAATTCAGGGAAAGACTGGCAGTAAGTAAATAAACAATGGACAAATTTAATATGGAAAAGTTCAATCTCAGGAAACTGAACGAGGTAGAGGCTGAAGAGCAGTATCATGTTGAACTCTCTAATAGGTTTACATTTTTGGAAAATTTAGACAATGAGGTGAATATTAATAAAGCTTGGGGAACTGTTGGAGAGAATATAAAAATTTCTGCCAAAGAGAGACTAGGTTATTATGAACTGAAGAAGCATAAGCCATGGTTCGACGAAGGATGCTCAAAATTATTATAACAAAGGAAAGAAGCCAAGTTGCAGTGGTTACAAAATTCAAGTGAAATATGTGGGGATAATCTGAACAGTAAAAGACATGAAGCCAGCAAGCATTTAAGGAATTTAAATTTATTTTTCATTTTAGAAATAATTGCATGTATTATGATTATAATGTAAGTAAAGTAAATATATCCCTGTACCAGGCCGTAAAGGCCCATAGGGTTGTGAGACATTGAGAGTCCCACATTATCTAGACAATCGGCTCAAAGATGGCGGTAAGGTTGTCAGCCTTACGCACCAGTCGCGCTTTGCTCCCCAGGAAAATTATTTAATTAATTCCTGGTACTCATTTCTGTTAGAGGCTGAATGAGCCCCAGAGCCATAGTGCGGCTGGAAGGATTAGATCAATTGAAAAAAATCCAATGACCTCATCAGGACTTGAACCCACGACCTTCCGGCTTGTAGCATAGCCCATCAACAAACTATACTACCGCGTACCTCCTCTGTTATTATTATTTCTTATGATCATAATGATTAACAGTAATATTGATCTATATTAGGATACTTCAATAATGTGAGACATTTAATGAAACTGCCCAAAGATGGCCTATATATGGACCGAAAGACATATCAGTTATTAAATAAAACCAATGTAAGCAATTAGAGTGGTTTATTGTTTCTTTTTTTTGTGTGTTGACAGCCTGAATACCACAATCATGGGCTACTGCTGTTGTCGACTTTCTACAGAATGCTTTCCAATATAACTCCCTCAAAGTTAAGTCTGTATATGTATAGATGAAATTATTGGGGATCATCGGTATGGGTTTTGACATAACAGATCAACCATCGATCAGATTATTTTGCATTTGTCAGATACTGAGGAACCAATGGAATACAACGAGAAAGTACATCAGCTTAACCTTTAACATCTGAAATGCCCTGATCGGGCCAGTGATGAGTATGGTCATCGTGGCCAAAGTACCCCGTTTTGGCCAGTCGGGCATTTAAACTCCACTAGTGGAAGTGTGTGCACACACTGCTAGTAAAAGAGCATGCACGGTCCTAAATATTTATTTTTACATGTAGTAATTACCAGACAGACTTGTGTAAAACCATAATAGAGGAATTAAATGATACCTAAGTGAACAACAGCAAAAAAGAATATACATATGAGTTATGCCCAAACTCATCCACGAGCCAGTACTTTTATTGAAGATTCTGCAAATTAATGTGTTAAAAATATATAGTAAAATTCGATGTACATACCTTTTTTGTTGTTACCAGCTTGATGTATATATCGGCTAAAATGAAACTACAATATTTGATTTCACTTTGAATGCACAGAAAACAGATCACACTCTGTATCTCAGCTACGATGCAGCTGTCTGTTCACGACCCTAGAAAGGGCAATAATCTCTTTCAGCTATAACGGAAGGTCTTAGCACTGAAGAAGGGACTCATTTAGCTTTCTCTTGAATAGCCATTCTTTCACTCTTCTGTCCTTTAGTCAAAAGATTCAAAAATCCGAAAAGTGTAAGCAGTGCTAGCTGAAGATCAAATGATTTTATTGCTTCTATCTGTTTTATGACACCAGAGATTGCTAAAATTTGTCAAGTGTTACAAACAGAAATGAATTTATAATGCAGAACAACTCTGTGAAGAACTGGGAAAACATTTTTGCAGTATGCATCAAAATTAAAAGAAAAAAAATTGAAAATAGAGTATAACTCTTTGTATAAAATTTTTCAAATTTTTCGTTATAATACGTGACACTATGTCTTTGCTGATACAAAAAAAAGTTAATTCCATCCATTTATCATTAAAATTGAGTTAGATACACATTTTTAAACACAATGCTTAAAATTGTTTAAGCGCTCTAACAGGAACGGACATTTAAACGCAGAGTACAACGGGCATTTAAACGGGCACTAGCAGTGGGTATTTAAATAAACTCCAGCCAGCTCAAGCTTACCACCATTTCAGAAGTCCAGCGTTTAAAGGTTAAAGGAAGCCTATGATTCAGTTAGGAGGAAATTATTGTGCAATATTCTCATAGAGTTTGGGGTACATATGAAACTAGTTAGGCTGATTAAAAGGTGTGTAACAGAAACCCACAGTAAATACATACAGGTAAACATCTGTCTGATAACATAATTTTCCTGCCCAAACTGATCTGAAACGACGAGACATTCTTCTGCAACTATGCTTTAGAATATGCCATTGGGA